ATCAACAACGTCTTTTGTGATGCATCTTGGGATCCTCTTCTTACTACAATTGCAAAATCAATTAATATAAGAGATTGATTTGTTTTTACAAAATTTGATTTTTCCTTTGTAAGTTCTTGCCTACTTCTAAAATTTACTTAGTGGAAATAGTGTGGGTGTATTTGAGTAGTTTGTATTAGCAATAAGTATACTAAAAGAAAAGAGTCTTGAAACAAAATTAGAGTATAAAAAAGGCATACATAAGATTGAGGATGATGTAAATATATATTGAAGTAAGATCGAGAGTGAAGTAAGATTACACACATATTGTGCTTGCACATTTCTACCACATTAGAACATCAATGTATTCCAGAAACAAATCCTACTTCATGATTATGTTTTTTCAAAGTACCATACTTACCACACATGATCAACCATGCTTTGCATCAAAAATATACAACCATTAAAGATGTCCTTTAGAAAATTGATTTTATCCCCATCTGTACTGCTCACTTAGTCTTAAAAAGATAAAATCACGAACTAAACATGCTGATCTTCATGAAACTGAACAGTGTTTGATATCCCACTCATGAGAATCGCAACAACCGAATCAGTTCCTGATCGTTCTTTTAACCTTTCGTGTGTTGTCACTGAGCATTCTCCGCATAATGAAACCTGTTTGTGGCTCAGTCAAGAGATCCTTGTTGTGGCGCTTGGGTTTTTTTAGACACCTGACAAAGTGTAAATGTAAGTTTATATATATATATATATATATGTATATGTGTGTTCCTGTCTGTCTGTGTGTGTGTGTCTGTGTGAGCGTGTGTGTTGTTCAAAGCTGATTTAACGAAGTGACTGATGGCTTCAGGCTTTTGAGGAAAATGACAGAGTCATGGAAGGACCGGAGTCAACGTGGGTTTTCTACAAGGGTTGTGACAAATAACAGTGTGCTAATCATTCATGGCTTTAACAGTGTGTTTGTTCCAAGTTTTCCATGCCTGTGACTCAGTTATTCTTTAATGTAAGTTCAATTGCATATCGTTATTTCTTGCTTCTGAGGTTCCTGACAATGAGCAGGGTGGGGGAAGGGCAAACAAGATCTCAGCACACCTTCAAACCCTCTCTCATGGTTTCTGGTTATGAAGAGATGGGATGCAACCATAAACTTTGTTTAATCTAACAATGTGATTGTTTCATGTTGACATTGGTACTCCTTTTTTTCTTTTTTGTTCTTTTATCGATTTTTGTGCAATTTCTACGTAAGATATTGTTGTCTTTTCTATTATTAATTTTGCTTGATTCTTTTCAGGACCTGTGATGACAAGATTTACTATTGCATTCAGAGAGATATCGACGTACAAAGATGTTCTTCGTTCACAGGTGCAACAGTCGTGCTACGGTGACCGTTTCTAGGTAGATAATTTTGTATATTCAGTCTGTTTGACGTCCTGTACGAAAATTCGATGATTTAAAAGATAGCTCTGAACTTGGATTTACAGCAGATCTTTATTATATTTGAATTTTCTGCATAGCGAATTCGCTTTAATTAAAATACTGAGTCGTAAAATCCCAGTAACTCATACATATACATATATATATATATATGGGGGAGCCAAGTTTTTGTGGCCTTCAGTGTAATGTGAGAAATTGATGGACACTCGTAGGTGGAGCATGTATTGAATGGCCGTTTGATGCGGTCTGCGGGTACCGATCTTATCGACAATGGACTAAGAAACTTGATTCTTAGTATCGCAACTTCGTTGTCGCCGTCAATGAGAAGCTTTCTGGAATCGGCTAGTGTCGATGCAATTTATGAATGTTTAAGTTCTAGTCTATTTTTCATTTTGAAAAGTGGCTGATTGTAAAGGTTGGTGCGTAGCTTTACACTGAGCACATCGTGGTCTCTGTTAATTCGATGCATCAAATCGTGTGCACATTTCTGTTGTGTCATCAGAGAGTGGAAGGATTTACAGGATGTAACTCAGTTCAGTCCTATTTCTTGTCATTTGCAGCACTAAGCTTGCAAGAATGACTTCCTGTAGTCATAGTTATCTTGTATTATCAGCAGCAAAGGGTTAAGAACTGGCAGTCAGCTTAATGGGTTATTATGCAATTCTGTAACCCTTTATGCAGTTATTAAACCTCTGCAACTGAGCTCGTAACCCTATATTGAGCAGCTGCGAGAAAAAATTGTCTTTGAAGGGGATTTCAAAGTCAGAGATCGTGGTGGACATTGAGAAGGTATTATCTCCCATGGTAATTTTGGGTGTTAATGTTTCGGGATGAGTAGTTGCTACATATATACAAGTGCAGTTGCAAAGTTCCTGATTTTTTAGAAACAGATCCTGACGACTTTTTCAAACCATCTGATTCGATGGTCAACCAATTATCAGTTATAAATGTACACTACTTTTTTCTTCAAATGTATTTTTTCTCGTGTTACATTCTTTGTGGTTTCTGGGTTTATGAAATCTCAAATCACAATATGAGTGAAATCCATTTAATCTGGCAATCTCTGTTAAAACTTTCAAAGTTGGAAAACTAATTAACTACAACATGAATTCTACTTTGAAACAGACGATGAATCTCATTCTGGCCTTGGTTGTGTATCAACTCCATCAAGACAAGCTTCACTGTTTATGATAGAATTGCAATTATAAGATTTTTATCATCAATTTATCACAATCTCACAGGATGGCATTGTTCAACACCAACGCAAAAGTAAAAAGTTAACTTTTTTGAGGCTGAGTAGCGTTATGGATGTTCATTCTCACTTCTTGAAGCAAGCAGGTTTTCCAACCATTGAATATTTAGCACTTGGATGTGTCTGGACAGAACTTTGAAGATTCTCTTTCTTCATCCAGATTACGTGATTTGTCTCACATCAACACTGATTGTCTTCACATTTTGGATGGTGTGATTCTTTCCAGTCAGGGATACGGGTTGTTATATCAAATGGAAGCTTATGTTCTGAAGCTTATGTTGCAAATCTTTTTCGTTTTGTCTTTCCGTGAACGTGTGTGGTACTTTTCCTTTCTTTGCATGGAAATCGAAGAGTTGTGGCGTGATAATGCACAACATTCTTCTTGATAGGGTTACGCAAGGGAAATAGGTTGATTTTTTAACAGAGTAAGTTAACATTTACAATTCGAATCTGGCTTGGTATGATGCGATGAGCTAGGTACTAGCACATGCGCAACATGCACTAGATAGAGCCGACGTCAAGCAGGTATAACCAGCAGACCGTCTGCATAATCATCGACAGCATATGGGTGGAGATAATCATTGTTCACTTTGTAAATTGGAGGGGCAGGATTTTGAGAACAATGACTGAACTTCATGTAAATTTTTCCTAACAGTGTAACTTTCTGTATTTCATTTTCCATCCACCCTAAACCAGTGGCCTTATCAAAGATATTTTCGGATCCACCGGCACGCAGGCAGTGAAACTAGTCTAATTAGAGCATTTTCTGAGCATGATAGCAGCGAAGACACGGTAGCATTTACAACACACTTGAGGTCACGTCGTGGCCCAAACCTTCATGAAAGGCCCCTAGATGCATTATAGAGAACACTTGGTAACAATGACTGCTGATTGTGATGCCAGTGACCCAAACTGGGCTTCTTTGAACTTGGAAAGTGTTCTATACATATTATTCACTGGGGTGCGAAGAAATTTCAGTTATCAGACCTTTTGTGATGAAAGAACTTTCTATAGTCTTTTAATAATTGCACGATAATAAAATGCTGTCAAAAGTCAAGATGAGATAAGTTTACAAGGTTGAAGAAATTTGGACAGAAGTCATCTTCATAAGAAGGTTTATGAAATGATCACACTGTATGGAAGAGTATGAACAATTGGAGTTAAAGCGACTCACTCGTGTGTATGTGCGTCATTTCACACAATGCTTGTGTCTTAAGCGGGTATGATCATTATAAAAGCTCTGACTGATATGATATTACAATCGAACGCAAACTGGGCAAGACCTTTTGCCCTCCAATTCAAGAGACACAGCGGAATTCGGCGCGAGGTGTATATGCAAAATCACCAGCCAAATTAATCTTGTGTCGACCTTCTGCTAGTAAACTCGTTGAAGTCTAAACCTTCTGACTTCTTCCTTAATCAACACGGTGAGTTGTCTGACAGCACGTTAGGTAAGAATTCAGGTGGAAATTGGTGGGTTCTATCAGGAATCTTTCCGTTCCCACGACAAACAAGGGATAATGTCTCAACCAACAAACTGCAGCTTGTCCTTCATTTAAGGATAATTGCAGATGTCAACGCCTATACAACCCTCTAGCAACACATGGGCTTTGGTGAATCATCTTGATCTCCTCCAGCAAGTATTGTAGGTGCAGTTTCTTCAAAAGGCTCTATCACTCGAAGCCCATGAGGGGGTTATGACATAGCTGAGGATCTAAGCTCTGGCGAGGTGTGTATTGCTAATAATGAGGATTCGCAGGGGTTGCTCTTTTTCGCTCATTGCCTGCTACTAGGAGAATCGAATACAGTTGAGCTCCTTCAACCTGCTCCAGAAGTTGATATTACTGCCTCTTGGTCGACCGGCTCTTCACCATTAAGAACCTTCTTCTCACAAGGTACCTTTTCTTCACAACAAAAATCACCTCGTATCCATCTCCGCTTGCAGTCCCGAACTAGAAGAAACTATTTACTTCAGAAATGCGATTTTTAGCCGTGAGAATTCCAAATGTCACGTGGTGTACGACCTGACACGAAAAAATCTATTCTGTGCCTTTGATGCACTTGGAGCTATTGTCCACTGTCAACATTGACTGATGGCTTGTCTGATGCTGTCGCCGGCTGCCAATACAATTTGCAGTTGATGCGACTTACGTTTCATCGACAACCATATGAAAATCACAGGATCAAAACCACATGTACCAGACAAAACTGGGGAAAAATCCCACTGGATGTTGTAGTGGAGGAGGGAGCGATTACCAATGAACCATTATTCTATGCTGTCTGAACCAAACAGATGACGCAGCTTCTATCGTCATCGAAGATCTCAATTTGCAGTCTTGTACGAATAAGCTGCTTTCGGCTAAGGTAAACAGTGTTCTGCATCCCTTTGTGCACATATAACAAAGTTCTGGTTTTCTAGATAATGAACATCCCCAAGTCGCAGTGACATAGTACTGAATCAAAACCAGAAAGATGTCGAAAACTTGTCAACTGACCACAGGTGTCGGTGAGATTGGCTGGATCAGATGTCAAGGAGTAGAGTACTTGTCTTGCTAAAACTCTCATTTGGTTTAGATTCTAGGACATAGATCAGGTTTGAAAGTTTTAGATTTTCAATGGATTAGACTCAAGTTTCACCTACCGACAGATTGTATTGGTGGTTGACATTGTTGTGAGAACAGGAGTTCCAGATCTCTCACAACCAGGAGGATCCGCGAGGAACTTGGACAAGGGTTTAAACTAGAAGTGTAATGTACAGAACTTGGTCATTTCTTTGAATGTGGTCGAGTATTCTGTTTATGGTAGGCTAAACCCTGAACCCTAAACAATAGGGAGGTATTTATGAACAAAATAGAATGGACCCAAGTGTTCAAAAACATCTCAAATTGTTGAGAATGTTTTAGAGAGAGAGACAAGAGTAGCTAGAAGTAATATGCACACATATGTAAACACACACACAAGAAGTGAGTTTATTGATTGGATTATCTCTCTTGTACAAAGAGTAAGGGAGAAGATAAACAATTTCTCTCCACTCTGTTTGAAACACTATAGCTATTCTAAATATTATAGACTACAATTAATAGCATGGAGAATGCAGGCTATATTTAATGCTCTCAACACTCCTCGTCGCTTGTCATAATATTTATATGCATAGAATTATGATCTATACTTTTTTGTAATCTCATAAGATCAACAACTACTCCCTCATTAAAATCTTATCTACAAAAATCTTATTATATTTAAAGACAAAACCATAGATTAAGAAAAAAGAGTACAATATTATCTCAAGAGTTCATTAACTTTCTTGCTCAAGAAAAATAAGTTGCCTTTATGCCAATGCCATAAGTAAGTTAGCAATGGTTGCACAAAGGGAGAGCTTTGGTGACGACATGTCACAAACATACTCATGTAAGCTAGTAATTACATATATAAATAAATAGAAGTAAGTAAAAATAGATAAAAGTAAGTTAATTCTATAGTATTTGGTATTTAGCTTCCATACCAAATACTATAGAATTAACTTACTTTTATCTACTTTTACTTACTTCTACTTATTTATATACGTAATTATTAGCTTAGATGAGTATGTTCATGACATTACCCCTCCCCTCCTTCTAGGGATGAGTTCCACGAGGAGCGGTCATCATATGTTGAGGAAATCTATGATGCGACGAATTGTATTCACCACATACTATGATCTTTGTTCTCTTTGAAGATGATTGATAGGACCTCTCAACCATAGATAGTGTCCCATACTAGGGCGAGAAGACCACCCAATTATTTGGTCATTATTGAGGCCTTCATAACTTCCTTTGAATAAAACATTTGAAACACCATCAGGAGTTGTTCATATCTCTAATAAAATCACCAAACATCGGGAGTCCCTTCCAAGGTCGTGATACCAAACGCGTTGTATCTCGCCATCTATTTGAGGAAGAACATGTCATTCTTGAAGATCTTCATCTCCATTACGTCATCTTGAAGGTTGTGACAATTGTAATGTCTCGTCTGACAAGTAAGCAAATGAAGGCTCTCGATTCGAATTTGCAGGTTGTTGGTTCTCCATCTCCTTAGCGTCACAACTACAAAGAATCTACAAACAAGGATTGAAAGTAGAATGTTATCTTGTCTAGATCTTATTTTTTTTATAAAAAAGATTTTTATCTTGGTTTTGATAGATGTTGTCGATGAAAAGCCTCCACTACCTTTTTTGCATTTACAAGATTCTTTGCTGGCTCTCATGTGCATTCACTAATATCATATTTGTGCCAATGGATAAGATATTCTAATTTATTTTGACGCCGCCTTGAATCTAAGACTTCTTCTACTTCAAACTCTTCATTATTGTCCACTTCTATAGGAGGAGGTAGAGCTTGTCTTCTTCTTGATATGTCCACCGTCTTGTATGGTTCAAGAAGAGACACATGGAATATTGGATGGATTTTTATTGACTCCGATAGATATAAATGATATGCAACTGGATTGATTTGTACAGAAATAGAAAATGGTCTAAGCCTTCGATAGTCCAACTTGTCACAAGGACGAGTGGTCTTGATATTGCGACAAAGTAACCATACCTTATCGTCCATGTAGAATGGTGGTTGTTTCTTTCGATAGACATCTACATTTATCTTTTGTCATTCTTGAGCTTCTTTTAATTGTGCCTGTATTATTACATATAACTCGGACAACCAATTTGCCATATCTTTTACTATAGGATTAT